AGGTTAATCGTGGATCTCGTAAACTGTTGCAGTTGAAGGGGGGAAGAAATTATAGAAAAATTCGATAGGGACCTTGTATGGGTATTGAGAGTGTGGCAGGTAAACGGGAATGTATAAATTCCGGGGGGCAGTTCTCACGTGCGAACGGATTTCGTCACGGTCAAAGAACTCCGGGCCTATTGTGAAGATTCCCCGGGGAAGAGGAGTCGTGAGTTGGTCAAACTGTGAAAACAACGATTCTAAAGTTCGATGGTTTCCGTAATTGAAATAAAAACGGGGACGTCGTGCCGGTATTTCGTCGATGATTTCGCAAAGGGAGGAATCAGATGAGGTAGAGGGTGCGGGGGAGGGAGGATTCTCTATGATTTGGACTTCGTCATCATCAGAGGAAAGAGTGGAGGACGGCGAGGTTTCAGATTCTTCTTCGTTTCTGAAACGAGCGTGGGGAGACGGGAGAGAGAGGGGATTGCCGTCGGAATTATAGATGGAGATTGCCGGAGATCCGGGAATTAATAAATTTTCATAAGGAGAAGGTGGGTTTAGCCAATCTCCTATGTCGGGAAAGTTATAAGGGGGAGAAGAGCCAGGAGAAGAGGAGCGAATTGAAGGTGAAGGGTTGGAATGCGGAGGAGTATCGGGAAAGATTCTCTGCGTTGCAGCAGAGGAGGAAGGAGAGGGCGGTGAAGAAGCTTGAGGCGAAGGTGTACTTTTCGTGGGGATGGAGATCGGGGTTTAAGAAATTGCGCTAATCAGGCCCGCGTGTTCCGCATCTTGGAGGGTCCGGCGCCACTCCTCAAAGGCTTCGTCGAGCAATTGTCGCGCATTTCTCCGGGCTAGCTGGCGGGAACGCCTAGGCTGACGGCTCCGCGAAACAATGGGGCGAGTGAACTCTTGGTTGTTCACTCGCCCCTTCTTGTTGTCATAACAAGTATAAAATAGTATCCGAAATAGAAGAAGGGACGTGAGGTAGCAATGAAAGATTTTATGACTTACTGGTTCGAAAAAGCTGGTATCTGTCTGGGTTTGGAATTCAGTGAAGGCCGCTTGGCTGCTCAGGTCGTCCGCTCAAGGATCAATCGGCTGGATCAGGCGGTCAGTTTGGTCACTTTAACTTAACGCGCACTGACTCTAAAAAGCTGGCTGATTTCTGACGGGTGTCAGAGTGATTGAATAGACTCAGGATTTTAATGACAAGTTCGGGAATATCTCGACTTATATACGGAAACTCATGGGATGTGGGAGGTGGCAATTTGAGGAAAAAATGAATTTGGTTGGGAGATTCGATTTGCGATTACTCCGCCCGTTTTACAGTTATCAATTCTTAAAGCTATTCATTAGTGAACCACCTCAGATGCCGAATTTTTAGGTTTCGCACCTTGTTATTGGTGGGTCCCTGATATGATACTTATTTAGTAGATTTTCTATTGGTGGTCGTATCTATCGGGCCAAATTCGTTTGATCCGATCGCGGCAAAAATCAATGTTTATTCCAAACGTGAAATCTTGAATTTTTCTGTTGGGCTATCTTGTCGTTTGATAGGATTTTATAACTCGACATGTGTGGGCTGTTTATTATTTTATTCTATGGAATTTTCGGTTTTGTCATGAATCCAGCCCAAACATACTTGTTGACAGTTTATCTGTTAGCCTTTTTCTTTTAAAAAAAAATACGTTCCAAACTTAGGTTTTTCTTCGCGGATAAATTGTGTACTGTGAGATACATTATCTGTTTTTGGTAATAAATATCTCTCACGTTCGGTTCTATACTATTTGCTAAAACCGAATTCTTCCCAAGGAAACCGACAACGGTCAATTTCGTTGAGTCGAGGTATTTTGTCGATTGATGGCCGTTATTATATTTAAGAATTTATCTTATCGCGTGTTCACAAAACGAAGAAATCGTGGAGTCCACCGAACGTAACACATAATAGAAACCTATAAAAAGTGTCGCAACCGATGTGTCCACGACTGTACATTTTTTCAATTTTAGATGCTGGATATAGACTTAGAGAATGTGGATTTGGATGGAAATATAGACTTGTTCAAGTCTTTTCCCTACTGCCCTGCAAGTCCAAGACGGCTACAAAATTTTACGGAGGTCATTTCCACCGCTGCTCCTCCGCATTATGCCACCGCCGCCGCCGCTGTTCCTTCGCGTACCGCTACTGCCGCTGCTCCTCCGCATGCCGCCGCCGCCGCCGACGCTCCTTCGCGTACAGCTACCACCGCTACTCCTCCGCATGCCGCCGCCGCCGCCGCCGCTCTTTCGCGTACCGCTACCGC